CACTTTGAATTACCTCAATCGAATATCAGGAGAAGAAGTTATGATAGAAACACTGAAAATTGTGCAGTGTCAACTGGACTACAACCGGTCGACCGAAACTGCCTAAAATGAAAAATTCTCGTTTTTCTCTAAAATTTAAATATTTATTTTCATCAATTATTTTCTCAAAGGGCCACCCACGTTTTTGGCAATAAAAACCCCACTAAATTGAAGCATTTAACCTCAAACTTAAATGGCACCCCTATTTTCTCTCTTAAATGAAATTTGATCCTTCATTTGCTTTAAGTTATGAGATATTTATCTATAATAGAGACCTCATTTCACTCATTTTTTCTCACACCAAAAGTAAGAGCTTTTACATACTAAAGAAAGTTTCCAAGAGAGAAGAAGAGAGAGAGGAAAACTATTTTTCCTAAAAGTTTAAGAAGTGTTTTCAAGCATCAATTCTCAACGGTTTTCAAGCATCCAAGGAGTGCATTTCTTTCAACGTCCAAATTTTATCGAAGTTTTCAATCCAAGTTTTCAAAGTTTCAAAAGCATCAATCAAGGTAGGTAGAGGTGCAATGTGTTTAATCGTGTTAAGTTATAAGTTTCGATTCTTGTTAATATTTGTATGTCAAATGGTACTTCCGTACGGCATATCCCTCTATGTTAATGGTTGTATGTCAAATGGTACTCCGGTACGGCATACCCCTCTATATTGAAGAAATGTTTGTATGTCAAATGGTGCCCTCGGGTACGGCATACCCCTTCATGTCAAATGGTGCCTCCGGGTACGACATGTATGAAAAGTTATAAAGTTAATGTTTTGAAATGTATAGCTTGATCACGAATGCACCTATGACACCTATTGAGTTTTTCAACTCATGGGTTTAATCCCATCTCTACAGATTGAAGGAATTCTACCTCGGGCATGGATGGAGGAGAAGATGGAGAGTGATGCAACGGGCCCATGGAAATCCGGTGAATAAGTGATTTGGATTTATTTTTATGAAATGTTTTCCAATGTTATTTCTTTAAAGTTTTGAATAACGCAGAATGCAAGAACAAGTTATGTTTCCTTCAAATAAATTACATTTTGTTGTTTGAAAAATGATTCAGTGTTTTTGTTTAAAGTATTTGAAGTATTATTATTATTTAAATTATTATTCGAAGATATAAGCTTCAGCTAAAACGTATACACTTGTTACTAAACCACCGGTTAAGCTAAGTAAAGTAAGTAGCGTTCCGATCCACTAGGGGTCGGGGCGTTACAAGATCAACTACTGGCTATTGTAATTTCGTATAGGAAAATCTCGTAACGTGGTAAGAAATAGAATGTAGTAGCCAGTAGCAGTGCTGAAGCAGAATTCAGAGTAGCTGCCCAAGGAATAAGTGAAGAATTGTAGATTAAGAAACCATTAGAAGAATTACAAATCACGATGAGAGTCCCAGTCAAACTATACTGCGACAATAAAGCAACTATCAACATCTCTCTCAACTAAGTTCAACATGACAGAACTAAATATGTAAAAGGGGACATGCTCTTCATCAAGGAGAATGTTGAAAATGGAACTATTTGTATGATATAAGTTCCAACCAAAGATCGGACTGTAGACATCTTCAGCAAATGCTACATCGACAAACTTTTGATAAGTGAATTTGCAAGTCAGAAGTGATCAATATCTATGATCCAATTTAAGGGGGAGTGAAGAAATCCCAAAATTATGGGATACTAGAATATTTTGAATATTATGTTTAGTAAGGAATAATTTTATTTTTTCCTTAAATTATTTTTTAAATAAGATTACATTCCTTCTCGTCATCTTCTATTGTACTATATATTGAGCAACATGAGACGTGTAATATCATTGAAAAATATAGAATACATATTTTTCTCAATCATTCCATAACTTGAACAACTAAATTCATTGTAAAGCGAGACATTCATTAAAAAACCACCTTTGTAATTTGGATTGTATTTCTCAATCTACTAAATGGTGGTTTTTGACCATTTTTCAATTTTTCTTCAATTTTCACCTCTAAAATAATTATTTCAAAATCTACGCTAAAAAGGAATGAAATTTAGACAATTATTTTCAATTATATCCTCCCTAAAACAATTATTTTCAATATTTCTTCCAATTTTATCATCTAAAACAATTATTCAAACACATTTATAACTCTTTTATATATGGGCACGTGTAATTTTATTATCTTAAAAAATTTCAAAACAACGGGATAATAAACTCTCAAGCATGACTTTGACTGTTTTAAAAATAGCTAATAAAAATACCCAAAATCGGACCTTTCATAAATGTCCAAAATTGGTACTTTAAAAAATCCACATATAAAAATCCCGATTATTGAAATATTTTGTATTATTGTATAGTTGATTTTTTACCTTAGTTAGATTAGGTCAATTTCAATATTTCCGTAGTTATATGTTTACCTTTCTTATTCTATGTTTGTAATATATATTAAGGCCCTTAGTGATGTAAAATTATTCATTGAAAAAAAGAATACAATATTTGATTCCACACTTCATGTTTCTACATGATATGAGCGCTCGGTCATTCTTGACCTAGCCATCAACCGTCAATGGCGAAACACAAAAAATAGCAACCGGTTGACAACATTTGAGCCCCAAAGCGGTGAAGTAGAATCTCTCTCTACCATGGGCTCCAGCAAACTGGATAATTGTCTTTCCAGCTCGTCGTGAAAAGATTGAATGGAAAGAATTATCGGGAATAGGCTCAGTCAATCAAGCTCATTGTCGATGGAAAAGGAAAACTAAGGTATCTTACAAGAGAAACGAAGCAACCTACCTCAACTGATGCCGCCCTTCTACAAAAATAGAGGTCAAAGAATTCACTAATAACTGTGTGAGTAGTTAACTCCATGAAACCGGCAATTGGAAAAACATCTCTTTCTACTAACGGCAAAAGGTGTGGGATGTCGTCGTGATATGTACTCCAATACAGAGGATTCTTTGTATGGTCTCAAACAGTCATCAAAAGTATGGTTTGACAGATTTGTAAGAGTACTGAGAAGGCAAGGATATCAGCAAGAAAAATCAGATCGTTCTGTGTTCTACCAATTATCTAAAGATGGGACAAAAACAATCCTAATTGTATATGTTGATGACATAATACTAACGGGAGATAACATGGTGGACCTAGAGAGATTGAAGAAAAAGTTGGTAGCAGAATTTGAAGTTAAGGATCCGAGATGGAATTGATACTTCTTAGGGATGGAAGTAGCCACATCGATATCAATGTTTCACAACGTAAATACACTCTTGATCTCTTGATCGAAACGGGCATGTTTGGATACAAACCAAGTGACACACCTATGGACGCAAGAAGAAAATGAGTAGACATGGGAAAACCAGTCGAAAAGGATAGATATCAACGGTTAGTTAGCAAGCTAATCTATCTCTCACACACAAGACCTGACATTGCATTTGCTATTAGTGTGGTAAGTCAACACATGTATTCTCCAAGAGAAACTCACCTAGAAGCAGTTTACAGAATCCTTAAATATCTCAAAGGTACCCCTGGAAAAGAACACTTCTTTGAGAAAAACAAAAGAAAAGAACTAGAAGTCTTTACCGATGCAAATGGAATGGATCAATAGAAGACAGAAAATCGACTAATGGCTATTGTACCTTTGTATAGGGTAACTTGGAGAAGTAAGAAGCAGAATGTGGTAGCAAAAAGTATTGCTGAAGCTGGGTTTAGAGCAGTTGCACAAGGAATATGCAAAGAACCATGGATAAAGAAATTATTGGAAGAATTACGGGTTATGGTGAATTTTCCAATCAAATTGTATTGCGTTAATAGAGCAGCTATCAACATCTCCGTCAATCCAGTCCAACACGTCGAACCAAACACGTTGAAGTGGACACACACTTCATCAAAGAAAAAGTTGAAAAAGGGATTATACGTATGACCTATGTACCTACCAAAGAATAGATCGTAGAAATTTTCGCCAAAGAACTATCTCAACAAAACTTCGAGGATTTTATCTACAAATTCGATATGGTCAACATTTACGATCCAATTTGAGGGGCAATGTAGAAATCCCGATTATTGAAATATTTTGTAATATTGTATAGTTAGTTTTTTACCTTAGTTGGATTAGGTAAATTTCTACATTACCCTAGTTATAAGTTTACCTTTTTTTATTCTCTGTTTGTACTATATATTAAGGCCCTTATTGATGTAAAATTATTCGTTGAAAAAAGGAATACAATATTTGATTCAAAATTCCACGTTTCTATAAAGGTACCCCAAAACTCCCAAGCAGACCCTAAGGAGAATGATAACTATCTATCATCAGCTTGAAAGAGAGGGGGAGAGAGAGAGAGTTGGAATATCTGCAAGCTCGTATAGCAGATTTCTGAATGATCAGTTTTTCCAGCTCATATGTGTTGTAGCCATTGGATAATTGTAGATAGAATTTCAATGAATTCTTTCCTTTCTTTACATTGCCTTGCCTAGTTTTTCTATCTTAATAGCAGAATCATAGTTTATATGTATTATTTCCAACGTTATTATTAGATACGTAGTCAACATAAATAGGATCTATTGTTATTAGTGCAAAAATTATTCTTACATGTGCTTCTAGTCTTGAAAGAAAACAAAAATAAATATTGAAGAGGGATGCCAGAAATGGAGGCAATGATCTCCTTATTTATGAACTTTGCAGAATCCCATTTCTCTCTGTCTCTTTTTCCACGACTATTTGGGGGGTCTGTTTAACTCACTTTCCTTGTTTCAACATATTTGCTTCCCTTTTTTTAGTACAATTACATTTACCTGATTCTCTTCCCTATTCTACACTTTATTCACTTCAAAAAAAAAAAAGAAGACCTTTGGACTCTTCACAACCATAATCTTCTTTAAATAGACAAAAGGCAGAAATATGCAAAATTTATTACTTCTCTTGCACAGCTCAGAAAGGAAGTAGTATTGTTGGCTGAATAAATAGAACACATTCAGATATATTTGCCTTACTTGAGCATCGCAGCTTGAAATGGAATACCAAGATCTTCACATAGACCGCGTAAAGTACCCTGCGTGTGGAGAAGATGTATCATAATTAGTCAATTTAAGATTAAAAGGATTATGATCTAAGGTCTTTGGCAAAAATAGAACTACCAAGAAACCTAGTGCTTCACATAATACATGATATAACAAACTAAAGTTAGTAGAATGTCTAAAGATGAAAGGCTATCTGAGTAATATAGTCAAGCCCCCCAGTTCTCTTTCAATCATTCAATTTAAGTTGCATGTTGATGAGGTAGAAAGGAATTGGTGGGTGACTGCAGAAGCCAAGTGGGTACCAGAAACCCAAGCTCCATGTACAGCAAATGAACCACCAGATTCATCAGAAACAATTATAAAGAAAACGATCAGAACTTGTACAAATTCCAGAAGTTTTTAAGTATTGTGAGATAAATAATCCAAATGTAGGAGCCATACACGGTTAAACTCAAGCCTGTGATGAGGACATCTAGTTTGGACTATTTAGTTAGTATTTTATTTGGGCTTGTATTATGTTTTGGGCTTACCCAAGCCTTTTATTTTGTTTTTGGGCTTGTATCATGTATTGGGTTGGCCTAAGCCCTTTTATGCTTTGTATTGTATAAAAGTATGCAGCTTTCAATGCATGGGGGGGGGGGGCAAATTTGATGCTGAATGAAAATTGAGTGTTGCAGACTTCCACCGCCCTCTTCTTTTCTCCTTCTCCTCCTACTTCTTCATCTTTCCTCTCTGGTTTCTACTTCTCTCCTCTCCTCCTATGTAACTGGTTTTGTGTTTGTGTTTATCTAATCCTACATCAAAGTGGTATAAGAGCCCAACCTAGATTCGGTCGTTTTTCTACATCCCATATCCAGCATATCCTAGTATCACCATCTTCAAACTTCATCCCTTGCTACAAAACCCAGTAATCATACGCGCATATAAACACAGTCCCCTACAACTTCCAGCATTTTCATCCATTACATATATATGCCAAAGCAATTTCCAACCCTGTTGCTACAAAATCCAGTCAACAACTCTGCCTCCTTCGTTAATAGCACACTACATCCAACGAAACTCCTAATTCTACGCAATGAACAGTAACCGCCGGCAATACAGTAACGAAGAAATTTCACTACCTGCCGACTACTGTTAAACTGACGAACCAAATAGTTAACTCCTTCCTTTGCCGACCACCACCACAATCATGAAATCCCGTCCCCAATCGCCACCAGTAATTATTCACAATCAGTCACCCATATTCCGTATCAGCAATTCAAAATACACCACCACGACCGTCGCTGCAAATCCAAACTGCCGTCGAGGATCTACATCGCCGTCGCTATTCAACAACCAATGGCTGATATCTCTTTCGCCAGCAGCCCTAAAAGTTTTGCTCGATCTCTCTCTCTCTCCTAAACATAATGGATTGGGCCTCTGTCTGTTTGTGTGTTTTGGTGAGTGGGCATGTATACAATGGAATGATTGGTAGTTTAGGCCTCTATTAGTGTTTGGGCCTTGATTTGTAATAGATTTATTTATTTGATTTTGTAAGTTTAAAAAAAAAAGAAAAAGAAAAGAAAAGAAAAAGCCAAAAAAATGAAAAAATTATTTTTTAACATTATTTTGCAGGTACCTCTTATTGTCTTGTTGATCGGTCAGTTGCTTCAGCGAACAAAAAAAGGGGGAGTTACTATTTTTATCTATATTTGGTCTATATTACTGTTAATTTAAATCGCATCAATTAATTTTATATTCTGCTATTATATTACTTTGCCTGAAATTACATGATTGAACCCTTGTCAAACCTCCACTTGTATTACTGCCTTTAAAACGAAGGATGGTCTTTATGAGTGGTTGGTCATTCCTTTTGGGCAAACCAATGCCCCGAGTACTTTTATGAGAGTAATGACACAAGCTTTGCAACCATTCATGGGTAAATTCCTCATTGTCTACTTTGATGACATTCTCGTGTACAGTAAAACTAGGGAACAACATAGAGATCGTCTCATGCAGGTTTGTTCTACCCTTCGTGCTACAAGCCTGTATGCTAATGTGAAGAAATGTTCTTTCTTCACAGATAAAGTTGTTGTATTTCTAGGTTTTATTGTCTCCGCGATAGGAGTGTCTGCTGACCCTGCAAAGATTCAGGCCATTGTTGGTTGGCCTGAGCCCAAGACTATACATGACGTTCGGAGTTTTCATGGTTTAGCTACCTTTTATCGTCGTTTCATTAAAGGGTTTCGCACGATTATGGCTCCTATTACGGAATGCATGAAAAGAGAGGAATTTCATTGGTCGCACGAAGCGACCAAAACATTTAAGTTGGTTAAGAGGTGAATGACAGAAGCTCCAGTCACGCTAATTCCTGATTTTTCTGAAGTTTTTGAGGTTGAATGTGATGCCTCTAGGGTAGGGATAGATGGAGTTTTGAGCCATGAACGCCACCCTATTGCTTATTTCAGTGAGAAATTAAATGATGCCAAACGACGGTACTCGATTTATGACAAGAAGTTGTATGCAGTCGTACAAACTTTACGCTATTGGCGTCATTACTTGTTACCCTAGGAATTTGTTCTTTATTCAGATCATGAGGTACTTCGCTACCTTAATTCCCAAAAGAGGTTGAATGCTAGGCATGGTCGTTGGATCGAGTGTTTGCAAGCCTATTCTTTTGTTTTGAAGAATAAAAAGGGCGAAAATCAAGCGACAGATGCTTTAAGCCGCCGCATTTCACTTTTAACCAATATGCGTGTCAAGGTCATAGGTTTTGAACGACTCAAAGAAGATTGTGAGTCATATCCCGATTTCAAGGACATTTTCCTTGCGTTGCAAAGTGGACAATTGAATGCTACTGATGGTTTTCGTCTAGACTTATCTTTTTTGGTCCAATAAATTGTGCATCCCTCGGACTTTAGTACGAGACTTTATAGTTTGGGAAAGTCATGTGGGAGGCCTGGTTGGGCATTTTGGACTTAATAAGACAATCGAAGAGGTTGAACGTCAATTTTATTGGCCTCGTTTGAAGATAGATTTAGCCAAGATTGTTAGTGCTTGTAACACCTGTCAGTTGGCTAAACTAAAGAGACAAAACACTGGTCTTTACATACCTCTTCCCGTCCCTAGTTGTCCTTGACAAGACGTCAGTATGGATTTTGTACTAGGACTCCCACTTACTCCAAAGAAACATGATTCTATTTTTGTTATAGTGGATCGTTTCTCGAAAATGACCCACTTCATCCTTTGTAGCAAGACTTCAAATGCGTCTAAGGTTGCTAGGTTGTACTTTAATGAGATTGTTAAATTGTATGGTCTTCCTAAGACCATTGTGTCGGATAGGGATGATCGGTTCACTAGCCATTTTTGGAGAACCTTATGGCACATGGTTGGCACTAAGTTGAAATTTTCCATTGCGTATCATCCTTAGACCGATGGTCAAATTGAAGTTGTTAATCGCAGTCTTGTTAACCTATTAAGATATCTAGTTTAGGAAAATCTGAGGAACTGGGATTTAATCCTCTCGATAACCCAAATTGCATATAACAGTTCTGTGAATCAGTCTTTAGCACGAGTCCTTTTGAAGTTATTCATGGTTATAAACCTAGTAAGCCTTTAAACCTTATCCCTATGTCTCCACATGCTAATGTGTCTGTGTCAGCTGAGACATTTGTACAACATCTTCATGACTTGCATATTGAGATCAATAAACAATTAGAGGCAAGTAATGCATCATATAAACTTCAAGCTGATTTGCATAAACGACATGTTGAGTTTAAAATTGGGGATTATGCGATGATCCGAATTAGACCGGAACGACGTCCATGTGGATCCGCTTTCGAATTGCAAGCTCGTAGCGTTGGTCCTTTTAAAATCTTAAAGCATGTTGGTCCAAATGCGTATGTCATTGATATTCCATCACATTTTGGCTACCACTCTACTTTCAATGTTGAGGATTTAGTTGCTTATAAAAGCCATTTTAAGCCCTCTGATGACCCTTTTCTATCCCCAGCTGTTAACTTTCAACCTGAACCTATTGCTACCCCTACTTCAACGCCCCTATCACAATACCCAAAGATAAGATTGATGTTATTTTAGATGAACAGATTATGTTGACCAATGATGGAAAAATTCACCGCTTTCTTGTTCGTTGGGTGGGACGACTTGACTCTGATTGCACATGGATCCCTAGAGAGACACTCTGATGAGGACATCCCAGTTTTAATTATTTTAGTTGGACTTGGGTTATTTTATTTTTATGGACTTGTGTATTCGGCTTGGCCCTATCTTTTAGGTTTGCAGTATTTAAACCTATTTTACATTGTTATTGAGATGATGAATTTGATTGAATAAAAGTTTGGCTACAGCCCCGTTTCTCCTCTCTGTGTTCTTCCCTGGTTCCTCTCTTCTCTTCTCCTCACTTCCCCTTCTTTTTTCTTTGTTATTCATTCTACATCAAATTGGTATCAGAGCGAAACTTGGGAATTTTCACTGCAATAAAAAAAAAAATTCCAGTTGCCCTACTACAAAATCCAAAACCGTCATCACCAAAAACTGCTGCTACAATTCTCCCCAAATCGCAACCCTAAAAAATCATCGGCCGCCACCTCCAAAGTGACGACCACCACTGCGACCACCTCCATATTCAGCAACCAATATAAATCCATTACCGCCACTAAATACCTCCAGTAGCCAAACTTCCAGTCACCCATCTACAGTTTGCAGAGCTGTTAGTGACGTCAAGGTGCCTTTGAAGGAAGTTACAAGAAGAACACCAACAACGCGCTTCTTGCTGTCGCGTGCAACACGGTTGTAGTGGTCGACGATGCTCAGCAGCACTAGCGGATGCACTACCACCTTGTCGATTGGCCATGCCGATATTTGCTGCGATTTTATAACATCCATTTCTTTGACTTTGCCGAAAATTTTGTCTGCGAGCGATTTAATGCTCAATCGGCGATGATTTCTTCAGCAGAAAGAAGAATATCGGCGAGAGTTTTCTTTCTCACGGCTTTCAATCGGGTTGGTTTATGAGTTATGGTTTGGGCTTGAT